AGAAAAGAAAAGAAAAGAAAAGAAAAGAAAAGAAAAGAAAAGAAAAGAAAAGAAAAGAAAAGACAGTGATGTGTATGAGGGATTGGCAGGCTGTGCTGAAAGTCCTGAAAATTCTGGGATGCACTGACAGGGCCCCCAGGAAATGCTATGGACTAGGTCTTTTCCCACTCTGTAGAGACAAGACCGGCCTCCTTACCATGGGAGCCTCAAGGAAGCAGGGGAGGCCCCATTTCCTGCCACCAGAACAGGCTGACCAACACAGAAGAGCTAAGCTTGAGCACTAAGGGAGAAAGCTTCCTCACTCTCAGGAATGGGTGGAGCAAGTCGGGGTCCTCCCTAGCAGCTACAGGGGTAACACGCGGACATGAGGCTTGGCAAGATTGGAGAGATCTGGTCACCCAGGGTGAAAGGTATCCCAGGGAGGGGAACAGCCCCAGCAGAGGAGGGAGGCAGAAAGCAGGGCTCCGAGGACAATGAGGCGGGTCAGTGAGTGGGCAGGAGGGAGATGGAGGGAGGGCTGAAGAGTGGACAGCTGTGCCCAACGAGGTCTCAAACACCAGGAAGGGGTGCCTGGGTAGAGCTGGAGGCCCGGGCTCTAGATTGGGACAGTGACACAGACATCTAGGAGGGACAGCAACTTATTCAGAGACACAGTGGCAGAGGCAGGGTGGGGATCTGAAGTCACTCTTGCCATCCCGGGAGTCCACAGTCTCCCCGGATGGCTATGCCTCAGGAATGGAGGGCAGATGGGGAGGGTGGGCTGGGAACATCTGGCCCAGGGGGGAAAGTGCCCTGAGGGAAGAGAGTTGTGCAGCCGAGGAGGAGGCAGTCGCATGGGGGTGGGGGGAGCGCTCCCGGGGATCACTGAGCGCAGCCATCCCTGTGCCCAAGGGACCCCCAGCCCGGGAGCATTAGTGGGCAGGACCCATGTCAGCAGCTGGGCCCTGCAGTGGGCAGCACTTGTGACTCCCCTCCCAGCTCCGGCCTCAGCCAGCCTCCATGCCAGCCTTCCGAGAGCTCCTTCCTGCCTTCTCTTTCTTCCTCTCCCCACACTTAACAGATTGCGGCAGCAAGATGGCACAAATTTATGGCTCAACTCACCAAAAATAACAAGAGATCTATCAAAGGCAGTTTGCGTGAAATTAGCAGGCGCCTGTACCCTCTTGTCAAATGCACTCAGCTCCGAGGCGGGCCAAGGCACCCCACTGCCCCTAACCTCTGTCTGGTGCCACCCTGGGTCCATCCTCCTTTGTCTTCGGCTGGCTCCTCTCAAGGATGTCCCAAAGAGCGTGAAGCCAACTTCCTTCCCTGCCCCAGTTCCTGGCAGAGGGTCTCTTCCTGTTCACCGTCCCTTGCTCTCTGTCTGGCAGCTCCTTGTGCCAGCCTATTCTGCATTCTAGGGTGTGGCACGGAGGGCGGTGTGGAGGAGGCCCAAGGTCTTGGTGAGCAGAGCAGTGTGTCCCGGGCTGTGGCAATGCCTCTGACCAGTCGACACGCCCTGACACGTGAAATGAACTGAGTCATGTCCCTCCCTGCCGTCTCTCACAGCAGAAAGGTTGGGACAGGAGGGAGGGGGTGGCAGAGCGGAAGAGCCTCCTGCCTGCTTTGGGGAGAGGAAGGGGCTGTGCCAGCCAGCTCTGGGTACCAGTATGCTGGGTAAGTTCGGCTCATGTATGCCAGCTGATGCTACATCCCCCATGCCGGCTCCCCACAGGAGCCCTCCCTGCAGAGCAACCACCACCTGAACAGGTGCCAAGTGGGGCAAGGGGCAGAGCAGAGGCAAGGCCTGAAAGCTGCCAGGGCCTCCAGCTCAGGGGTCTCCGCTCCAAGAGCCTTGCGGACAACCAGCCATCCAACCTCCTCCATCCGTCTCAACCTCGAGGGTCCTCGCAGGGGCTCGGATGGTGGTGCACTGCCGGTCACCACCGCTCTCTGACTCCTGAAGATGCCCTCGCTACCAACCAGATCCTGCTTCCGGCTTCAACCAAGCCCAGCTGGCCGCTCCTGGCTCTGTGCTCCACATGGCAGCTTGCCCAGCCAGTGCCCATCCAGGAGGGCAAAGCCTTGCTCCGTCCACTCCAAACCACTGGGCCGCTGGGCCACAGGGAATGCCAGACAAAAGAACTCGTCCTCAGCTGCGCAGAATGGGGGAGGCCCTACGGAGTGACAGCAGTGGTGACCACACAGGAGGAGCCATAAACCTCCTGATATATGCCTGGCGCTCTCCGCTGATGTTCAACAAAAGAAGCAAAATTCAATTTCTTCCTGCAGGCACTAAATCCCAGGCCAGCCTCTAGGGCCTGTAACCTGCCCACGGCCTGGTTGTCACATGGATGGCTTCATCGACCGCTGTGAGAGGCCAAGCTGGCCTGGGAGAGAGGCCACGGCAAGGCCCCTGGGTGCTCACTGTGCCCCCGTGGGCACGATGCCAGATGTTTCATGGGGGAGGCCAAGAAGGTCCCCCTGCAAAGCACTGGGAGAGGCCATTGACCTAAGTCCCCTTCTAACTAATTCAGAGACACCTCCCAGTTTTACAAAGAATCCAATGCCTTTGTTAATGATGCTAACGATCAAAGATAGTGTCCGGCCCCTGGGCTCTCTTCTCCAAAGCAGGGATACGGGAAGGCATTCCTCCAGTGACCTCACATGAGCCTCCTTCCTCCCATGTAAATACTCAGTGAGACCTAGATGCATCCTCCATCCTCTCCAAGGTAGGCTAACACTTGGGGAAACTGAGGTCCAGAGAGGCAAAGGGCCTCCCAGTATATGGCCCAGCTCCCAGACCTACCTCTCTCCCACCTGCCTAGCCTTGGTGCCTGTTCCCTGCTGACCCCCAAGCTAGCGCTTGGCTCGGCACTGGTCACCAGGGGTAGAGGTCCAGCTGGCAGAGGGGAGCTGGGACTAGAAGCTGCAAGATGCAGGGCAGTGGAAGGTGGCCATGGCTGTGAAGCTGGGGTGGGTGTGGGAGCAGGCAGGCAAAAGGACTCGAAGAGCTTTTGCCCAGTCAGCAGGAAGCGCCAGCAGCTGGCGGCCTCGGTCCCAGAAGACATGGGCCCAGTGGGGGAGATGGGACACTGGGAGTTGAGCCAGCCCGGCCCTCCAAGGCACCTCAGAGCTCGGGCCTCTTCGCCCAGGCACACTCTTCCTCACCTCCTTCTGCCCTGACCCTGGGGTACTGCCAAAAATCATTGACCCGTGTGGGCAGGAACACATTTCTGCTCCCTGCCTATTCCAGCCTCCAGGCAAATTTGTCAACTCACAGGGCCAGGGTCTGCCACAGCAACTCCAGCTTTGGGGTTCAGTGCTCTCTGCTCCATCTGCCTGGGGTGCTCGCACCACT